ATTTCTCTGTCAAATCCAAATCGCATTTTGTCAAATTTTTATGATAAGTTGGAGACAATACAGGAAAAATATATTTCAGCTTCAAAAGATCTGAACTATTATTTTTGATTGTGTTGCTCATTTCCCTTCACACTGTCAGAAACTCATTCACATCTTCTAAAAGACTCAAGCTTTCCAATTTTTTTATTCTCCTACAAAATCATCTAATTGAGTTGTTGGAAATAACATTTATTGTGATATACTATTACCGTGATAATTATTTTTCAACATTTTATTTGTTTTGAAGTTATTATATGCACCATTTTTTGCCATCTTACGCTTAAGTTTGTTCAAAGAGCTTCACGTACAGAGAAGGTTGGATGCTACACAAATGCATCTTTTTCCGACACTCTTGTTGTCGCCTGAGAGAGCCTTGAGATGTTGCCGTTTGATTGTCCCGATCCTATATAAGTTCCATAAAGTCTGGAGGGATCGTAGTATCTGGTGTAGAGGCTTTTGCTTCTGGACGTAGTGGGCATGTATATCCTTTCGCTGTAGGCCTGAACCACTTTTCTGAAAGAGCAAAATTATTAGCAAAAATAATGATGGGATACATACTTAGTGTGAACAGATGAGTTCATGAATGGTGATTTAAATACCTTTCAGGGTAGACTACTCTGAATACTGTCACAGCATAAAGCACAGCACCAAACATGATTAGAAAGCATCCCACCAAGCCCAGAAATATGGGAGGTCCCAAGTCATATCTGGAATAGGAGTGTATTTAAATATTTGTAAATGCAGAAAACAGCTAGAACTGGGACTTTTAGCTTTAAGAAATTAAAAAAAGTACCTTAGGGTTCCTGGTGCCGGGTTCCTGACAAAAGCTGTTTTAACAACCCTGTTGATGTATAAGCAGTAGGCAGCCAGATTGGACACACCTGTGATGCAGAGGTTTTTGTTGAAATGTAGAAATGAATGAGGGCAAAACATTTTTTGTCATTTTGCAGAAAGACTCAAAAACACGAGCCAAAGCTCCACACTCACCGCCAATGAAATGAAACACTGCTCCCGACACAACAAGCTTGTCTTTGGTTTGTTCGGCTCCTCCGATGTACGTGCACTCCATCCCGATGAAGCAGCAGGTGACGGCGAAGAACCCGATGGTTAGCCCGCATATCAGCAACCCTCTCACCGCCTGGACATAATCTGAGACAAAGAAAACAAACAAACAAACAAACAAACAAATAAATACATAAATACATAAATACATAAATAAATAAATAATAAATAAATAAAGAAAGTTAAAAACTCAGAAATAACAATGGACTACAGTAAATTTCATTCAGATAATTTGCAGTCAAAGGGGGAGTTTGACGTTTTTGAGGTGGTATCAGTAATCAAATTGCTCAACACATTTTCAAATACAATAAAATTAAAAAAATSTCTTGGAGAAATTAGTTAATAGCTGCTGTCTTAAACTTCAGTCTTAATATGTGCAGTTTTATAAACCTTTATGCTGCTATCACTTTATTAGTTAATTATTTAACATAAAAGTCTACAAATATTTCTAGCATGCAATTCTTCTCTGAAACGGAAGGCTTTTTTTWACCCAGGCCTGAAAGGGAAGGTTTTTGGAAACCCCCAGACAGTTACAGTCAATAATTTTTGCACGGGTTTATGAATAACAGTAAAAATGGTGGATAACAGAGTGCTTTTTGTTCTGCTCATGCTTTTCAACATGTAGAAGCAAACCAGCCTCATCCTTGGCCAAAACAAAGGTTTGTGTATTCACAACTTAACATTACTTAAACCTAGAAAAATGAAAGCCTCCTTTTCAACTTGAAATCATGTAATGCATTTTATTTTACATAATAACTTCAATTTCAATTGAAATTCCACTTCCCTATGAGGATTAAGTCAAAAGCTGGACCACCCTCACCCTGGTATACAGCAGAACTGTAAAATGCATTTTTAGACTGCTATATTTTAATGGTTTACAACTTACAGAGGACATTCCAGAGGACCCCGTAGTCTCTGCAGTTGGTGACGGCCGTGGAGTCCGTGTAGCAGTCCTTCCACAGGTTGGACCAGTACCAGGCCACCTTGATAACTGAAGAACCACCTTTCCCTCCAATTTGGCTGGTTCTCCAGTAGTTCATTGCCATGGTGCATAGCACAAACAGCCATCCCAACGATGAGATCAAGAAACCAAATATTTGGATCAAACGCTTCTTCATTGCTAAAATGAAATGTACTAACGAGGCATCTGATTTAAACAAGAAGAAAAAAAAGTGGAAACGCACCTAGATGTTGAGCTCCACACGTCAGAACAGAGGGTGGAGTGGACGAATGTGTGTCGGTGCTTTTGGTGTTGATGAGGGCTGTGGAACATTGTGTAAGATGTTTTCAGTAAACTTTAGGATTTATGTTTCATGTTTTCAAGCTTTACACCACCTCCAGCTACAGTTTTCAGTTAATACAACCCCTGGCAAAAAGTATGGAATCACCAGTCTTTGATGAACACTCATTCAGACATTTCACTCTGTAAAACAAACTCAGATCAAAAACATGATACAATAATAAGGTCATTCCAAAGTGCAACTTGTTGGCTTTCAGGAACTCTCAAAGAAATGAAGAGAAAACATTGTGGAAGTCAGTGAATGTTACTTTTATTGACCAAGCAGGGGAAAAATATGGAATCACTCAATTCTGAGGAAAAAAGTACGGAGTCATACAAATTGGAGGTAGAAAATAAGGACACATCCAGTCAATTTCCTTTCCCTAAATGGACACCTGCCTCAGATTTGATCTGCTCGATAGTCTGCAGTTAAAAACACCTGCAGTCATGACACCTTGGAGGGCTGCTGGATGAAGTGGAGTGGCAAGAACCATGGCTCCAACAAGAGAAATGTCTCTTGAAACAAAAGAGAGGATTGTGAAACTTCTTGAAGAAGGTAACTCTTCATGCATGGTTACTAAAGATGTGGGCTGTTCACAGTTAGCTGTATCCAAGACATGGACCAAATACAAACAGCATGGAATGGTTGTTAAAGCCAAGCCTACTGGTAGACCAAGAAAGACATCAAAGTGTCAAGACAAACAACTTAAGGCCATTTGTCTTGAAAGCTGAAAAAGAACAACTAAACAGATTGGGCTCTGGTCTTCYCTACGTCTGCCTCGTGTCTTGGGGGTTGGGTCTCCGGTCCTCCACAGTCACTATTAAATATTCCACTGGAGAAATCTTGTATATACACAAATGTTCACAACTGCTCACAAACAGGTGTTCTGATCTGGGGGTGTTCTGACTGGTCACTGAGTGTGTATAAATGTCTGTGTGTATATACTGTATATCTACAGTATGTGTGAATGTAGGCATGTATGTATGTATATCTTTATATATGTATGGGTATGTGTATATTTATATACTGTATGCCATCCATGTATTTAACCATTTATTTTTAGGTGAGCGGACAGATGTTGGGTGTGTGGTCCTGTGTTTTCTTGGTGTATATTTAATATACTTCTAATCTCTATTTCAGTCTTTCTAATTACTTTTCTCTTTGTTTTCCCTTGTTTTCTATTTTCTCTTTACTTAAAAAAATCACTGATGATGAAGAAATTAAGAAACTAATATTAAGTTCTTTTTTCTACTGAAGTGATTTAGAAAAAAAAAGACAAACAACTTAAGGCCATTTGTCTTGAAAACTGAAACAGTACAACTAAACAGATGAAGCATAAATGGGAGGAAGCTGGAGCCAATGTATGTGACCGAACCGTGAGAAATCACCTAAAAGAAATGGGATTTCAATACAGGAAAACTAAAAGAAAACCATCATTGACACCTAAACAAAAAGAACAAGACTGCAATGGGCTAAGGAGAGGCAATCATGGACTGTGGATGACTGGATGAAAGTTATTTTCAGTGATGAGTCAAGAATCTGCATTGGACAAGGTGATGATGCTGGAACTTTTGTTTGGTGTTGTTCCAGTGAGATTTATGAAGAGGACTGCCTGAAGAAAACAACCAAATTTCCACAGTCCTTGATGAGATGGGGCTGCATGTCAGGCAAAGGCACAGGGGAGATGACTGTGGTTCATTCTTCTATCAATGCACACGTTTACATTGACATTTTGGACAGTTTTCTCATCCTTTCAATTGAACAGATGTTTGGAGGTGATGAAATAATTTTCCAAGATGACAATGCATTGTGCCATAGGGCAAAAACAGTGAAGGCATTCCTTGGAGACAGACACATTCAGTCGATGTCATGGCCTGCAAATAGTCCAGGTCTCAACCCAATTGAAAACCTGTGGTGGAAATTGAAAAAATTGGTCCACAAGAAGGCTCCGACCTGCAAAGCTGATCTGGTAACTGTTGGCACCAAATTGATGAAGAATACTGTTTGTCACTCATCAAGTCCATGCCTCAGAGACTGCAAGCCATTATAAAAGCCAAAGGTGGTGTAACTAAATACTAGTGATGTATTTTGAATGATCTTTTGTTTATCTGTTTTTCATGATTCCATACTTTTTTCCTCAGAATTGAGTGAGTCCATATTTTTTCCCTGTGCTTGGTCAATAAAAGTAAGATTCACTGACTTCCACAATGTTTTCTCTTCATTTCTTTGAGTGTTCCTGAAAGCCAAYAAGTTGCACTTTGGAATGACCTTATTATTGTATCGTATTTTTGATCGGAGTTTGTCTTACAGACTGAAATGTCTGAGGAATGAAATGTCTGAATGAGTGCTCATCCAAGACTGCTGATTCCATACTTTTTTGCCAGGTTGTACACCTTATTTAACTTTAATCACTGAACCCATGCACTTGGAGAAAGTTTGACGTACGCATGGGCAGCAAAGGCTCAAGGGACATTTGATAAATTGAAGTATTTGTGGTTTTATAAAGCGTGCAAATCTAAGTTTGCTTAAATCTAATCTAATCTAAACTTCTCTTGTGGTTACTTGTATTTCTTCTTTGATATTAATATAATTCAAAGATAAAGTATGCACCATAAATGATCATTACAGCCCATTACACAGTCATTAGCACAATGATTGAAACAACTGTAAGTACAATGTTTCTACACAGAGCAACAGAAGATTAAATCCTAGTAACCAGGTAAACTAGGTTCATTTTGGCACCTCTGGGTTAGAGAATGTTTGAACTGACAATGATTTACACTTAAAAAAGGTATATAGTCTTCACTTTAGAAGGGTTCAAAAAAAAAAGACAAACTTGGTTTTGGAAGTAATTAGCCTTTATGGCTAAAACCTTAATAAATGAGTAAACTTATAGCAGATTAAGTATGAATCATTCTTAATGAAGTTTGAATGAATGAAGTGTACTATAAAGTGTTACTGAATAATATTACAGTAATAACGATGTTTGATAAGAAAAAAAGGAGGTTCTATTCTATTATTGGGGCGGCTGTGGTGTAGTGGTAGAGCAGCCGGCTTGGGACCCGAAAGTAGGTTCGACTCCCCGCCATACCCACATGCCGTGGTGTCCTTGAGCAAGACACCTAACCCTAACTGCTCCCCGGGCGCCTCACATGGCTGCCCGCTGCTCCACTTGGGTGTGGATGGGTTAAATGCAGAGCACAAATTTCGTCATTGTGTGAAAACATACTGATGACAAATAAAGCACCTTTACCTTTACCTTTACCTTTACCTATAGAACTGCTGGACTGAGTTCAAACCATGTGACCCTGTGATCTACTGTAGAAGCTACAGTGCTAAGAAGATCAGGCAAGAGTTTTGATTTACCATTACTGTACATGTTGGCAACAAAGGACTGATAATGCAGAAATCATAAAAACTAATAATAATGATATCAAAAAGATATAATATTCATATTTTAGAGTATATATCATCTATCTAATGTAAATAAAACTGTCAGAAAGCTGTGTGTGTATTGTGGATTTACAAACAGAAGATAAACAGGAAAACATTTCATTTCACAAGTAAGAAGATTTTATCTTATTTACTTCAATGTGGATGTGATCTGACCAGAGCTGAAGCTAGCAATGAAACAGTTTAAAATTAAAATAGGCTTTTACTGTCAATGTAATCACTGCTAATTATTGAACTGGTTAGCAGATATTAGCTTCTGTACAAAAGAATAAACATAACAAGCTGGTTTTTACCTCTGATTTATGTAATATTTACAGTGTATATATAT